ACTAAACATTAAAAGTACTGGAGAAAGAACAAAACGTGAAGAAACTATTTGGTACAGGGTAGCCCGGGCGAACCTAGCTCTTTACAGCCGGCACTCCAGTTCTGCTGCGACCACGGAATCCCTACGCGTCGCATCATGTACATACTTAGTACAGTTAATTCAATGTAATCCCAACCGCGAGACCCCTGTACTTAACACATGGCCATTAAGCATGCGGGGAAAGCAGGTATTAGTAGTAGAGGGACCATGAGGATATCTCTGGGCTTCACGTCATTGCTACCTACTTACACATCCAGTACTGACTTCGACTAAGAAACTTAAAATGTTGATCCCACGCCCTACAAGCTCCCATTGGATACCAAGCTCTCTCTCACAGGCGTCCTCGCGATCAACAAAACTGGAATTGGCGTAGCTGATCTCTTTTCTTTCGTCATTAGGTATGCGTCTACTACATGAGGTAGTCCCGTCGTCAGCTCCGTGCCACATGCAGCTTGTGCACGGGCAATTATACTCGTCGCCTTACATAGGTTAGCTGATTTCAAATCGCGTTAAACACAGGCCTAGCCCAGCGAGCTCTGCCGTCTGTGCGGCGACCTCGAGGTCCCAAGCTCGCGGGTTCTATTGGGCACGACACCAGACTAATATCAGAAAACCCCAGACCTCGACGCCGCAGGGAGACATTACATACCTAGCATAACGTCCTCCTATCTCCGATCCATCGGCGGGTCACGGGACACATCTTGGGGTGACGCCCTTTGTGACAGTGACCCCGGGAGAGAAGGTCTAGCCTAAGTGTGCCGTAATCATTTCGACATTGACGCAGGGCCCTCGAGCCAGCCACCCGGGGTTTATTTGTGCCTAGACCGCCTGTCCTGTTATGTGGGGAGGCATCCAACGTGTTACGAGACGTCCTTTGCACTTCTCGATCATTACTCCTCCTGTTTGCTATTTCGCTCTCTCTTTCTCTCTCCGTTGAGCAGGTGTTACAGACCAGAAACACCCGTACAACAAGTAGTAATCGGCCCTGAAGTCTCCGGTGCTTGCGTCGTACTATGCTATTTCAATAGGGGTAAGTAGTCCGATGTCTCTTATCGGAGCTCAAATGACGTGAGAAAAACGGTAAGCGTGGGTTCGGGAATTGGAAGAAAGGGGTTTGCAATACATACGAGATGGAAGCACACGTCATAAGTGAGTACAGCTTTTTTGCTTGCCCTCCCCTTCGTAACTTCGTTCGTCCCTCTCAGCGCTGAGATAGAAGCCTGCCTGCGCGTGCGATGGCGATCGGAGAAAAGCAATTCGGCCCGCGGAGTTGTCTGAGACCCGATCGTGCGCCGTCGCAGCATTCAACCGTGAATGAACTCCACAAGCTGTATCTGCCTCACCTGGGAGCTGATTTCTACCTGAATATGAAATGGACATGATTCATTAGAGTTTATATTCCGAATTTAAAAAGAATATAGATGGATAAGGTGTGATATGAACCCCATTCAGTCGGCGCAGTGCCTCATTGGCTGGATTATACATGTTCCCATAGTGCACCACTCAACTGCCTGGGCTATGTTCTTTGTATGCGCATCTTAATCTATATATCCAAGCAAGATTCCGCATCGAGTAGCACTCCAGATTGAGCGTTTGCGAGTAATGCTATATGGTAGAAATATGTGCCGCTCGTAGCACCTCGATAGCTCAAGCTGCAAAGCTGAGTCATGAGCTGTATAAAGTATGACATCAGTATTGTTCAGCTCTTAATAGCTCAATGGTTGTGTAAACAATAAACAATTACACATAATTCAAGGGGGACTATATGCGCTGGAAATCTGATCTGATGCTTTGCTGCAGGCGGTGTAGCTCATCCACCTGCGAGTGCATGTTTGATCCCCCAGTCGATCACCCATGATATGCGCAAACACCATGTTGTATTCGGGCGAGCGGGTTAAGAGTTGTACACAAACACCCACAAATTTCCATTTCCTCTGCATAAGGAGAGGCAATGGCATTTCTAAAACAACCGTATTCGCTAAGTTTTGACAAATTTGTTTACTAAAAACGATAGTTATTAGTGAATTATCTAACTCGTATTATTAATAAGAGAACGTGGCGACAACCCCCGTAGATTATTGGCTAACGAGGTTACTCTGCAGTGTAGTTATTTCGTCTACAATTAAAGTTCCATCGAATTGTTGAGCCATTGGGACTTTCGCACGTTATATATTAGAACACAGGTTATATAGATTCATGATCTTCCGCACTCAGCTCATGGAATACTGCGTACCACCGCATCTACCTCGTACGATTGGAATTATAAGCCTGATACAGCCAAGACGAGAATGTCAAACGCACACCTGAGACATTTAGTTCACTGGACCACTGAACAAATGTTCATGCGTAGTCTATTGCGATATTGTCCTCGACAATGAGATAAGTGTAAACTAAAAACTGTTTAGTTACATTTACATTCCTCGGTACCGAAATCCAAGAGATCTAGACATATCGGTATCGTATTCATTGCTCAAAGCCAGATTCGTTCCAGGCATGAAATTCAAACCCCTCGCTAATGCAAGGGCAAATAACTGTATGGATACATGAGCGTAATTCCGTCTTTTTCGATGTATTACTCTCGGTTGCTGAGATGAAGTAGCAATTAGGAATATCAGTAGTATCTTTCTTTAAAAAAGACAAACTTGATCTGTGCTACTCACCCCGATATTTATGGCCTTATGACAAACCCTCAGTTTTAGATTCCATCAAGGCTAACTTCCACTGAACCCAGTTCTGTTTGTGACATGCTTATCTAGAGGAAACTATTATGATGCTCCTGAGTTGCATACAGACGCTCCAGAATTCGTACTGCGCAAATTTATGAAGCCTAGTGACTTCCATCCAGCTTACTAGAAAGGCCGGTAACATACCTAAATTAGAATAAGTGTCACAAAACAGAACAGTAGCACTAAACCACGGCACTCAAATGTAAAACGTTACCAAGGTGGGTGCCTTGCTATCTACAGCCACTTATATGTATTGCCCATGGGACAAACTGTCGCAATCTGTGAACTTAGAGCGCATTTTAGGGGTCATAAGATATGTTTTTCTCGAATCTATATAATGTGAGGGTTACACCAGCAAGCACTGCTTATCAGCGGAAATTTGTCTCTACTACTCCTGGTAACTCGTTTCTGTGAGTTCATGTTCACTTGGAGCACCGAACACTACACATCGGCCGCCTAGAAAATTTTGCGGAAGTCCGGCTATGATGACTCCGGTTATTTTGACGTAGCCGGAACCGGGTCGAAACGGAGTGGCTGGAAGTAGGAACTCATAAGTCCCTAATAGTAAATCATTGCGAGAAATAGAAATAGTTTAAACTCTGATAGTTGGATTATCTATTTCACGTAGTGCCCATCGTCAGGAGGTCTTTTCCGGAAAGAGACATATAGTTTCTTTATAATATGCTGTGCTGGGGTAGGGATGAAATGCCGATTCCTACACAATATAGTGTTCCAAGGCTATCCAATGATAACCGGGCAGATCGCCAAACTCGGAAGTCAAGCCCACAACAAATGATACATCTACACGAATAAAACCATGCTATTTGCGAATATTGGCAAAACGAAGACATCACCGAAGCCTTGATTGTCAGTATCATACCAGACTAGACATCACCAGTTCGTTAGCGGTTCCATCAAAAACCCCTGGAGATCTTAGAGACGGGCCGATTAGTACGTCTCGGATATCCAGATCTACATATAGCGTGGAGTTCAGCTTGAATTTAAGCTTCGCGCTGCCCCAGAATTATCGCCGCGGACTGCCTCGTCTCCCACGCCTTGACTCGTCGTTATCTGTACTAAGAATGAAAAGTACCGCAGTCCTATAGGACTTGTGGGCTGTAGCATTTCAAGGTATAAATAAATGGCCCCGGACCTAACTGCCGCCCCAACACCTCATACAGATGCGGTACAATATAATTATTGCCACCTTATATATGGAATTCTCCCTCCATAACGGTAAGGGCTTGAAAAGATGTTTACGTCTCAATAGTCTTTCATAGAATCAAAGGGGCTGTGAAGGACTTAACCCCTATTCGGTTTAGTGGAAGATTTAATATAGTTTATGTCTGAATAGCTTCACTCCCTTTACTTACGCATACTTCGATCCCGTTCGCTTTCGCTTTCGTATGGCTATTTCAATTTATCTTGGTATACTATAGGATACCACAAATATGGATGAGCTGAAAGCAAACCTGAAGGTTTGTATGAAGTTTCGCACCCCGTTAGGGAAGTTATGGATTACGGTATATTACTGTACAAGGCATACGCGTCACGGATGCTTCAAATCACTCACTCCATTATCACTACGGAATCTCTCTCCACCTAGTTCGTTTCAACTCGTATAACTATATTCATGACATGTGAGACTCAGTCTTAAGTACTTGCAAAGCTAAATATGGGCTGTGGCGATTATACCAAAGTACTTATGTTCTCCGAATGAGTGACATGCCACCTTGATGCGAAAGTAATAGCGTCCGTTAACTTATTTAGCTTCGACTTCATAACTATTCTTGCTCGTTTGAAGAAAAGGTAGTCTGGCTAATTCCAGTCTTCCGCAGCAGTCATGGTCTAGACAATGAGTCTATCAGAGCGGAAACGACGCTTCTTCTTCACCATATATGGCCATTATGATTTTTGTGAATTTCTCCCATTGCCCCTTTTGATTCCTTCCTTTCTCTTCTTTTGTTTCTTAGTTGAGTGTGTTATATGTAATTATTAATAGCCGACCCGTACAATTATTTCCATTAGCTCAAGGCAGATAGCAGCCACTAATCCACAGTTTAGGAGTGTGTCTCCTTCCCCCCCTATTTCACGTGACACGAACTTCCCGAGACCCTCACGCCAGATAACCACAAAACGCACTAAAGCAAAACTATCGAATCCGACACGGCAAACGATATGCTGTTTGCTTTCTACTTGGGATTTCATAGGAGCCGAACGAACTCCAACGAATACGGCCTCGTGGCCCAATGGCAAGGCGTCTGACTACGAGAATGGCTCAACTGCAGCCTTCAAGGTGATCAGGAGATTCTGGGTTCGACCCCCAGCGAGGTCAATTTTTGATATTCTATCCCATAAACCCTCACCTTCGTGAAGAAGAATACTATCTTTTGGTCGGTCGCCTTCTCACTTTTCGCGGTTCAAGATAGGGAGGGGCCTTACTGCCGTTCATACTGTTGGAGGAGGGGTGGATGTCCAGGCACTATTCCGAAGAAGCCTAGAAGGTTTATAGGACGGCGTTTTAAGCTATGGTGGGATTACAATACCGGAATGACTAGGCCATGACATCACTATTGTACAAAAGGGAAGTGCAAAAGTGCATAGTTAAAGCTGGTCTACAACGGCCCCTTCACGGAACAATGATAGGACCTTATTTCATCGCCATACTTGATTGACTCTTCAAGAGGGTTCAAACAAATTCTTGGTAAACGAATCAATAACTGTCTACTTAAGTAACTAAATCAGATATAATAATGGTAGAGAGATAAGGGCTAGTTGTTAATATTCCAAATGGAAGTATTACTACGAGAGATAGCTTTTGAAAGAATTTATATAATCATTGTCTTTTCATCTCCTTATATTCTATACCCACGTGATAATTATAAGTATACATTACGCGTATACGTTATTCCTTAAATTATATATCAGAGCTGTCTCATAACACTCAGGCCATTACGAATTGTAACGTTGTATAATAACTTGAAACATAAACAACGAGACCAACCAGACCTTTACATACATAACTTCCTTATACTACTGTAGAATCCTTGCACAAGTATCATTTCATGTTTCTAAGACACTCTTAGCACTTGAAAAGCTATCGATGCAATCAACAAATACTTGCGCGTGTTAGAAGGTCATCAGAAAATGTTATCTACAATAATCAAAGGAACGCAAAGATACTTCTTGACTTGCTTTGAAACAATTTCAAATTCGTAACGTTGGGGAAAAAAATATCGTTACCACCAACACTCCGACAACAAACCAAATCATCCCAAACCCCAACACTCCCCAGATAACACGTGGGTCATAAATACAGAGCTTGGTGTCTTGACGCAACTCACATCCTCCAAGCAGGATGTGCCAAGGGACATAACAAGGTCTTGGAAAGTGTCACACGTACCGAAGCTCTGGATCGCGTATCTAGGATAGGGATACTACTTATCATATATATTATCATATGATCGCGGGTACCCATCCACCTGTCTACCCGTATAGTTCGTGAGTTACCCGTATTCTCGCCGAATTGTTCATAACCTATTCCGGAGTCTCGTATACGAGCCTAGGAAGAGCGGCGACTATACGCTATCTCTAACGTAGAGGAAGAAGGGGGAATAAAGGCTAGAGCCCCTTGATCCCCTGGAAGATTATATGCAATTCGAACATCCTTCCAAGCCTTTGATTCAAGCCCTTGTTACATAACACCAGATTCCCATCATCCATACGCTAATTTTCTTTCATTCTACTCATCTCGAATGTACATCTGGCTGTTCGCTCGGAGTATGTGTCTCCCCTCCTATTGACAATGCCCGAATAGCTTCACCACTAGTTCTCAACCTTCGCTTCGTCCTGCCTACCCCGCTTTCGTATAACCGTCTCAGATGAACGGGTGAATACGATTCAGCTGAAAGCTCACAGAATCTCGCACTCGTGCGACTATATGCATGATATGCATTCAGGTCGAGGTCTCAGGGACGTGTGACAAGTGGGTGGGACAAACAGTATATTAAAACCACTAACTAGAAAGGAGAGAACACTAATACCAGTATGCGGAATATCATGTCATCAACCGTCACCTGAGCAACGTGAGAAGGTAACAGCAGAATAGACATTTCCGACTCGGAGAACGATAGAGCGTTTGCCTTTCGAGAGTAAGTAACTCACAATACGAGGCCTGGAACTTTGAGTAATATGCAATCTACTGATTCTCCCGTATGCGTTCCTTTCTCATAGGAGAGAGCATACGAATATCATTTACGAGTATGGTTGTTGCAAAATCAATAACTGAGGAATCGACGTCACATAAAGTGATTACAATTTACTAAATCTTTTACTTTACTAATGTACTCTACACACTAACCTACTAAATGTAACCTATTAACTCCAAAATACGGATAAAATGATGGGCTACGGCTATGAGTGTATATATATAACCAGCATACATACATATATATGTATCGTAAAAGTCATCGAACGACATAACATAAGGAAGATGACAGGTATAATAAGCAAGCAACAGAAATGGCAAGAAAACATAAAACCTCCGCTCTGACCCTATACCAGATCACATGACATGAAAGAACAAAATGCCTCGATAATATGATTTGACGCATAAATCATATCGCTCTCATTGCAACATGCTAATCAGCCATGGATATCAAGAAAACTTTTGCATGCACCCGAAAATGCATTGGGTAGACAAAAAAGAAACAGAAAAGAGACACTGAGTTAGAATTTTTTTTTGGACGAGGTGATACCCAACAGCAGAGTTTCAAAGCCGAGAACAAGGACTCAGAGCACCGCGAGTATCAATGCTCTTGCATAGGTAGGTAGGCTTGATCTCCACTGGATACTCCATGATTTCCCATATCACTCACGAACTCTTCGTAGCATTTCATTCGCATGTGTCATCACTGTCAAAACCAAAACTTGCAGTTTCTCCTGCCAGACGGCATGAATAAAGCCAGTAATAGTAGCTACCGAGATGACAGTTGTTTCCAAGACACTAGCTTTGGTCGATGAGTGGGGGAATTCTCCTTATTCTGAAGCCGATCCTTTGCTGGTAGGAATGGGCTCGTTTAACACATCTTCCCCAGGATGCAAGGGGACGGGAGTCTGAGGGGCCATCTCATCATCATCATCTGTAACGAGATCGAGCACAGAACTTGACTTTGCACTTCCTTTCACCGGCTGTGGACTCAACACTTGGGCTGACCGCGCTACATAGGTTGGCGATACCAAGGCCTCAGAACCCGAAGGTATAGGCCGAAGTGGTAGTTCTTTGCTGCCTATATTACTACCACCGAGCTTTTTTAAGAGCTCTTCGCTATGCTGCGTAGCTAACTTTTGAAGCTGTGCCACAGGATCCTTGTGAAACGCACAGGGCGTTAGAGAATTAGCAAGGACAGTCTGATGCAGTCCACTTCCGGCCGTGCACACATACCCAATCGCTCTGACCGGGAACACCCACTGCGGCAGGCAGTAGTGTGTCACTGTCGCCTTGGCCAGTGCCTGGGCCACTACCCCAGAAGTTTGACCGATGGATAGGAGCAGGTGTCACAGGCAGGCTGGGACGCTCAGCTTCGCTTGGGAAGTCGGTGAGCTTACTCTGTCGCCGTGGCCGCGTGACACTATCTACGCTTTCGCCGGGGCTCGGCACTTTGATTGTGCCGGGAGATTTAAAGCTTCTTGACCTTTGATACCTTTGCATGGAATCGACATACCGCTCGATTTCCGGTATTTCGTCCCATGCATTAGACCGTGAGTACGAAGTCCATGGATCTGCCAGCGAGACGTGGATGGTAGGGGTGGTGGGTGTCCCCGGCTCGCTTCTTTGATCCACTGAAGAAGTTTCTGTCATGGAACACTCAACCGTTGATTCTGTCTCGAGCGCAAGCTGTTGCTCATTAGAAAGCGCGTCTAGATCGTGCGTCTCTATGTCTTGAGGAACTTGAGGCACTTCGTCAAATACACGAGACGGCTTAGGTCGGTTGGCCTCCCAAGGGAAAATGGGCTTGAATGGGGCTTCCTTCGGAAAGTTGTACCAACTTGGAGGGCTCGGGTACTGCTTAGGGGCGATGAAACGGGTAGTGCTGCTGGACATTGCATATACTCTAGTAGGAAGATTCATGCCCTCAGGTTTCGACCCTGATGGAGGCGAATGCCTGTTGCACTGTTAGCGGCTAATACGTTACGTGCAATATACGGGAGAAGGCCAACCTTTGTGCGTCCCAGCTCGACATGTGGTGGTGTTGGTGATACCCTTTATGCGAGCCATTAGGTTGGTATTCCCCCTTGGTTAGGTATCGCACGAGTTCCGAAACCTTCCCCTGTGTCGACTTGAAAAAAGAGTAAGTAAGGTATCCGATACATGATCATAGGACGTGAAAAGTGACTTACGCCCACCCCATAATGCTGATCGTAGACTGCCCACCACTTCCCTGTCATCTCGTTGAACGACGAGCTTCCGGTGCTAACATGCCGTCCCTCAAACCACGGCTTGCCTGAGCCGATGAAATGCACCATGTTAATCTTCGACTGAAAGTGGCGGTAGGCGGGTATATACTGGTAATGCGCTGACGGGGTAACATTGTAGGTGAAGCTTATACGGTTGTAGTTGCTACCAAAATGTGTGTTTATAAGGCCTTGATCGGCACCGTCAAACGATGTGCCCTGTTCAGCCAAAGCCAGCATATCGCGATAATCTTCCGCATTGGGGGTCAGAACCATGACACCTGTGTTGAACAGATCGGGCCATCCAATGTCTGGGGCAGCCGAGAAAGGATGTGGGAGGTCGAAGAGCTCGTCGGGGGCCCGATAAGCGACAACATCGGCGTCTATGTAGACGATCTTGCGAAACTGAGTCTGGTTCCAAAGGTGGATCTTGGTGAAGGCAGAGTGGAGGTCGGTTCGGTTCATCAACTGCAAATTGGCCGGCTGCCCATTGCGGATTCGAGACACCGGAATGACCTTATCATACACGGACTAGCGAACCGGATCAGCGTGATACTCAGCTGCTGACTTATCATTACGACGAGCTTACCTGGAGCTCGGTGATGGCTTCGGCGGAGACGGTGTCGCTGGTGACCAGCACGACCAGCTTCTTCGTTGTACCGCCATCGCGCAGAGAATGCGCGAGGACCAGCGCACCTGGAGACACGGCATTAGAAGCTATATTGCAAGTCGATTGAGGCTAGAGATCCTACCAGGTAGATATGTGTCGGTCAATAGCAGCTGGTAGTGTACGCAGTTAGACAGAGCTGGGCGCGAGTATGACTTGTCATGAGAGCAGTGGTTGACGAACTGTAGCATAGACGTCCTCCCCTCCAGTTCCTC